CGCTCGTGTGTGCACACGTTCTCATATTGCTATCACAATATGTAATAATATATAAATTATACTTTTTTGGTTCAGAAGCTGTTGAAAGCACAAAATCAATTTCTTCCAATGTAGGATGAATAAAGAGCATTCCTTTTTCTTTTCTTCGTCTGATTGTCTTCCTATGCAATACATTGTGTATAGACAGGTTTTGTGCTGCTCTATAGGTGACTTGTTGTTTCTTTTATAACATGTGCATGCATTTGTGTTTTGTCAAGAGTTTTTTTTCTGTATTAGTGGGTGGTTGGAGGGCGCAACTGGTTGGTCCTACTGCGGAGATTGTGCATCAGTTGTGTAAGCCATTGATATAGACTTGTTGTACAGTGTAGAACTGTCTGTCTGTCTGTCTGTCTACCTGTCTGTCTGCCTGTCTGTCTACTTGTCTGTGTGTCTGTTTGTCTGCCTGTCTGTCTGTCCGTCCGTCCGTCCGTCCGTCTGTCTGTCTGTCTGTCTGTCTGTCTGTCTGTCTGTCGAGTATCTGGCAACGAGCTGAAGATGAGCTATGTGTTTTATTCTCTGACCTTCAGTCGAGTGAGCATGGAGGTGAGGGAGATTCCGCGCGTGACCACTTCAAGGTCAGAGAGTTCACCTTTGACCACTCCTTCTGGTCGGTCAACGAGAAAGATGGACATTACGCCACACAGACGCAGGTAGCCCTTGGTTCTTGTCCCCGTGGTGTTGACATTGATTGATTTTTAGTTTTACTTCTTTTACTTATAAATATAACTTGTAACAATGAAATTGCATTTATATATGTATAGCTCATATTTACACTCCATAGAATGTTCTATGCGATTTGCAACTAAAATTACCCCTGCAGACCCTAAAACACTGAGAAATATTTTTGGTTCCCAGGAAGCATACAGTGCAAGCTGCACATTGCACACACTCAAACTCTAACAAACTGACAGGATCTTAGATTTCTGCCTGTAGCCAGGTACCCATTCCCACCTGGATGAAGTGAGGGAAATTCGTGTAAAACGCCTTTCCAGAAGACATGTCAGGCTCATGACAGAATTTCAACCCACGACCTTACTGTTGTGAGACCAAGAGTTTAACCAAGTGGTTAATGGTGGCTACGTTTTAAAAAAATCTTTAAGATAAATTTTCTTTTACACAAGATCGAGTAGAATAATTATGAGCATTTCTTTGTTATAGCTATCATCTCCACTTGGAAATAAGCAGGAAGACAATTTAATATTAGCAGGACCAATACAATTTTGTGGTCAGGGGTCTCGAAGGAAATGAAATTGGCTTTGAAATAAAATAAGTTATGATTGACACAGATGACAAAAATAGATTGAAATCAGGGTGACTGTATATTAAAGCCAGGTAAGTAATAAAATTACCCCCCCCAATGGCCCATAGCTAGCAGTTTCAGTAAATTAACCGCAAAGTTTCTGAAACACCATATTTATGTGTATATATAATTGTGTATACTTACACGTGCTGTTGTGTCTGTCAGGTGTTTTCCAGCCTGGGCGAGGATGTGGTCAACTCGGCCTTTGACGGCTACAACGTCTGCATCTTCGCCTACGGTCAGACAGGGTCTGGCAAGACGTACACCATGATGGGTTCAAAGGTCAGTTCAGGAACCTGGGAGATGGACTTGACCCTGGAGCGTACCTGTATAGTGTATTGAGCTAGGGTTGACCTTACTCAAAAGTGTACCTTTGCATTATTATTTTTGAGGTTTTACAGTACAAATTGGCCTACCCATGACCTTTCATCAAAGATTTGGTTTATGTTATGATACTTGTACTGTACAAGTCCAGAACTATACAGCCTGGCCATGACAAACTAGTGTGGCTCATAACTAGGTCAGTGCAAATATTTGTAATAATACTAATAAATAGTATTGGTATAGTGCAAATTTCTGCTCAACAGCAAGCTTTATGTGCTTTACAATCCATATTATTACCTTAGCAGACCTGAGAGTATTCTGAAACAATATCAACTGTTGTGTATGGCTGGGTATTAGTTCACACCTGGGCAAAGTTTGGAAGACTCTTGAATGGTGACTATTCCCAAGGACACAGTGTTGGGCCTGAGCCTTGAACCCTTAGACCCGCAGCATCACCATTACCAATCTGGTAGTCTAACCACTAGACTACCAATGCCTCCTATACTTGTGTTGTTTATCTTGCATATTAGCCAAGACGCCCACTTGTTTTTTGGGAAGCAGTCACAGATAATTTTCTGAAATCTCACAGTTGTAGATGTTGAATTTTTTAAAATGTGGTTTACCTGAGCTGGGTTTTTATTGACGGTGGTTGAGGGGCACCAGTGGTAAGTCCTGCTTCTTTACTTTTCCATAATTGTGTATGTCTTTCTGTCTGTCCTGCTCTTTCCAAGAACTACATCACTTACACTTATTTTGTCAATCATCTTCTCTTTTGTCAAACTAAACTTCATTGCATAGACTAAAACTGAATCTGCTTTCTATTTTTTCAGGAAGATCCTGGCCTCATCCCAAGATATTGCAATGTAAGTATCCAGCCTAAACTGTGTGCTGTTTGTGATAAACTTTCTCTCTGTGCTCGGGGTTCAGCACAGTTACATTCTTATGATAGATTCGCCAATGTAACGTTACAGATATTAATAGGAACAAATTACCGTAACATGAGCCGCAGTGGCTACCTGCTTTATAAACTACTGTTGAGAAATAGCGAGGAAGCGTCTCAGAGGAAAGAGTGAAATTGTGAAGACGATATTTAATATCTTGATAAAGTTTATGAAAAACTGCCCATCTAAAGTTTTGAATTACTTACATGATTCTGAGATTTTTAGAAATTTGAGTCGGTGTGGGAGCTGAATAAGGTTTGGTCAAAGGATGGTCTAAGAATGTTTAATCCATGGTCAATGTACTTGTCTTTTTTCTCCACCAGACGTTGTTCTCCCGACTGACAGATAACAGCGCCTCTTACCAAGTCCATGTCAGGTGAGTCAGTGACTGGGGAGGTGGGAGGAGGAGGGGGGGGAAGGGAGGAGAAAGAGGGAAGGGATGAGGTTGGAGTGGAGGAGGGGGGTCCTCTGTCAATCACCAGTGCCTCCCCTCTGCCACAAAAATGTAGATGGTCTCTGTCAGACCAACTCAGTGTTGAGGAAACTGACTGAGCTTAAAAGCTTCAAAAGCCTGCCTCTTTTTTTTTCCTGAAAAAGAAAATTCAAGTACATTTACAGACTGTTGTCTTCGTAGATTTCTGTTGTCCCGTTCTTATTCTAAAGTGTGCTCTATATCAGTATTGTCTTGGTGTAGACATGATTCAAAAGTTAATCAAGATATCATCACTGTTGCACGAAAAATGAGTATTTTTGTTTGATCCAACTTTTTCAGCGACAAATGAAAATTTGGATCTACATATGATTCAAAGTTAATCAAGATATCATCGCTGTTGCACGAAAAATGAGTATTTTTGTTTGATCCAACTTTTTCAGTGACAAGATGAAAATTTGGATCTACATACAATAAACAAATACATGTTCCAGATGGTTTGACTTATTGTAAATATCCTATGGACTGTTGCAGCTACCTGGAAATCTACAATGAGAAAGTACGCGACCTGCTGAGTTCTGTGTCCACCAACCCCAACAAACCCAGCCACAACCTGAGAGTGAGAGAACACCCACGGGACGGACCCTACGTGCAGGGTGAGCGATGTTTCCTTTTTTGGCTTGCTCAGGATTCGTTGTCCACATAGAATGATTGTTTTACACAGTCTATATTGTCTGTTTTGGCCTAAATTGCTACTATAGCTAAGTTTAGCATTCAAATGACTTTTCATTTTTCATCAATCTGTAAATATCAAACCAATCCGTCCTGTAGCTTTTAAACGGTTGCAATTTCTGACTTTTCCAGTTTACAACTTGCTGTAGATATTCATTATTTCTCAGAGCAAGGAATTAAGACGTAGTTACCACTAGGTCTCAGCTGATGGTACATTTGGACCAAAGAGAAGTGTATATCTGACAGTTGAGGTCGTCGTAATTTGCATGGAAAAAAATCAGGGAATTAACTTAAGAATAAAGAAAGAAGTGAATGGATTTCTTGCACTGTAGTGTGGAAATAGATGCATGCAAGTGTTTTAGTGTTTCCTTTTTGTGTCTTTCCCCAGGACAGTTGCATTTTGTCAACATAAAGACATGCTTACATTTTTTAAGCCATTTTTTTTTTTTTCAAATTGGAAAATGAGGAGAAAGATAGACTATTCCTAAATCTTTAGAACATGGCCATGCTTTCTGATAAAGATTGGCTGCAGTACTTTGCAGCATATTTCTGGATGTTATGTGTTTTCTGTATCTGGAAGTGTTTGAACTTTTGAACATGCTCTCTATGATATCATATTTAGGTCCAAAGTCGAATGATGTATAGGTGTGATTTATTGATGTCTGTCTCAGCTTGTAGGCTTCACAAGGTAAAAAAAAAATCGACCCTTATTGAAATAAAATCTTGAGCAAATTTTAATCAAACTGGAATAAGATGGTCTTTATTAATAAGCAGATGTGTTGTTCTGATGCAAGCATGTGATTTACATTCTCTGCGTCACAGATCTGTCCAAGCACGTTGTGGTGCATTATGATGCTCTGGCTGAGCTCATGGTCAAAGGGAACATGAACAGGTGAGGGTGTGTTATGAGAGAGAGAGAGAGAGCGCACAGGGAGAGAGAGAGAGAGAGCGCACAGGGAGAGAGAGAGAGCGCGCACAGGGAGAGAGAGAGAGAGCGCACAGAGAGAGAGAGAGAGCGCACAGAGAGAGAGAGAGTGCACAGAGAGAGAGAGCGCAGAGAGAGAGAGCGCACAGAGAGAGAGCGCGCACAGAGAGAGAGAGAGAGAGAGAGAGAGAGCGCGCATAGAGAGAGAGAGAGTGCGCACAGAGAGAGAGAGAGAGCGCAGAGAGAGAGAGAGAACACACAGAGAGAGAGGGTGGGGGGGGGGGGGGAGACAGACTGGCTGAGATACAGAGAAAGTGACTTTGGGTAGATATAGATGTGCTTGTGTGTTGTGTTAATATTTTGTGTATGAAATAAAAGCTCACTGTTTATTTTTATTTTTAAATGAAAAATTAATATAGTATATTTTCTGTAATTTTATGTTAATTTTTTGTTTGTCAGTGGTGAACTGTTGTTTACTTCTGAAAGTCATTGCGTAGTAATGTAATTCACAGTATTTTGTATGAGAACAAAATATAAGTAATTCTGGGATTTTGAAAACCTTTCTTTCTATTTAGCTATCCTGTTTTTTGTCCCTTCATATGAAGTCCACGAACCTCTGCTTCGGTAATACTATTTCATGGTAGAGATTCAGTCTGCTGATGGTTGGAGGGCACCGCTGATCGGTTTTTCTTTTTTCTTTCCCTCTGTAGTTTCGATGTGTTTGTCAGTCTTACTTTTTATTTTAGTGGACCTCAAAAAGTATTTCCGTTTGATAGTTCCTTTTGTTGAGGCATTGGGCGTTTCTGCTCTGTCGTGTGGTCTGTTTAGTCACTTGTTTGTCATGTTTCCTCTCTCAGAACGACAGCGTCCACCAACATGAACGACGTCAGCAGTCGGTCGCACGCCATCTTCACAATAACATTCACACAGGTGAGCCCTGGGGTGTCCTCAAAAAGTCTACACGTTGTGGAGATACTGCTTGTTTCTGTGCTTAGTGAGTTATGAAATAGAATATATACCATAGGTGTGTCTTCACAGTGTGAGAAATAATAACTCCAAATTTTGTTACTTCTTAGTAAAGCAGGGCAGAGTTACTCATTTTTCTTGTGGCAGAAAAGATATTCATTTTTGCTGAAAGTTATTAAAATGTGTGTCCGTGCTGTAAATGAATAGATCTGAATTCATTTCAGCACAGACGTAGCTTCAGTGAGCTGAAAGAGTAGAATCATGTTTTTCCCTTCATCAAGCCTTGAAGTAGTGCGTTTTTCTCTATCAAGACGTTTGTATTGTAGTCTCTCATCTGTTTTGGCATGTTTTATTTCATCACTCTCTACCTTCCCAGCTCCCCAACCTCTTTCCTCAAACTCCCTCTTCCACACACACCACCTATACACTTCATAGCATGTTGAAACATGTCCCCTCACATACAGGTATACTGATCCTAACTTCTTAACTCTCATCTGACCATGCAGACTTAAACACGCACACACACACATACACTTGCGCACTATCTCTCACGCATATACACATATAAACACACACACACATGCACACACACTCACACACACACACACACACCATCCACGCTCCCCTCAACAACCTACATCTATCAACAGGCACGGTTCATGGACGGGTTACCCAGTGAGAGACAGAGCAAGATAAACCTGGTGGACTTGGCAGGCAGGTCAGTGGTTAAGCTGGTCATCTGCTGGACATTCAATCTGCAGTTGGGGGGGGGGGGAGATACATTTGTGTTCAGGGAGTACTGTCGTTCAATATATTGTGGTCATCAGAAAACAGAGTCACATGTTATGGTCGGTCACCCAGCCAGATCTACAGAAAACACTTCAGTGTGAATTAAACTGTGGAAAGTTTATTAAGTTGAAAACCTCAGTAGTATGCTAAGCTGTTACTTCTGGCATTATTGTGGTTTTGACGTAGTTTGCAGAGGCAATAAAAGTGTCCCGACTATGTGTATAGCACGGCGCACTGGCGGTGGAATTTTAGTTGCCGCGGGGGGTTCTCCGCCGGGCGCCTTATCACGTCGGGATCACGGGGGTCAGCTCCCTGTTGCCGCTCTGTCTGGGCCGACTTGATTTTTGGTTACTTTTCAACGTACAATTTTAGGTGTATCCCTGCATTTATGGTAATTCTCATTTAGTGCACCCAAAGCATGCGTTTCTGCTCTTGAGACTCAAAAAAGAACGGACGTTGTAACTTGTCTGGTTATTTCGTTAGACGCGCTGAAGTCGGCAATTCTAAATTGTAATTTTTTTTTTACTAGCATGACTGAGAAAAAATCAATGTAAAAAAAGACCTCGACAAAATCTGTCAAACTTTTGGAACATGAACGACATAGCATTGGTGCAGATACTCTGAAAAGATGCTATCTGCGCATATAATAGAAAGCTGTAATTTTGCAACTTTATCCATCGGGCACACAATTCGCTATGAAGTAATTCCTCCAAATACAACTTTATGTGTCTAATATAATCGTGAATATTTGCATATTTTCTCGAAAGTTTATAAAAGTTACCATGAAGTTCCTTTCTGAAAAGTACAAATCGATTTTAGTGCCAAAATACATCTTCAATGTAATACACGAACAGTATTTGTTACACTCCAGAAATTCCTTACTTTTCTTAACACGTTAAGTATAGGTTTTGTAAGTTGACTGAATAATAGGGATGACTTCTCATAATTGGGTTGTAAGAATAATTTCTAGCTTTCCAGGGACACTGAATCAGCTCTAGACTTTTCCAGCTTTATTTTTCGTTTCTATAATGACCATTTGCAATAACTGACAATGTGACTGATTTCTTTACATTCATAATTGTGTCCGCGCATATTTCCAACACAAAAAGTAAGAATGAATGTGTTAGCTGTCATTATTTTTTATTCCATACAAGAAGTTTATCTCTACCCATGTATTTCCACGGTTTTGTGGGGGTTTTTAATCGCTTATATCTTTTTAGTTGTATACAGGCTGCCACAGACACAGCATGATTCATGAACAAACGCAGAGTAACTTTCTCTTGTTTAATAGTAAAATAAGAGCTAACGCTGATCGTCTGTAGTGAAAATATGCAGATGTGCATCTTTTTTTCTCTTATAACTTGACTATTACTACTCGCGCAGATTTAAGATTTCTCATGATAAAAGACATGATATTCGTAGTCAGTTTAAAACAGATTTTGGAGAGATTTGTCGTGCCTTTTAAAAATTAACAATCATTTATTCATAAGTTTGTAACTAAAATCGGACAAATTGGGTACTCTACAAACACTTGTCTAGAACAAAAACTAAGACACAGAAATTAACCATTCTAACGCAGAATAAATCTCAAGACATTGAGCTTTTAGTACATCCGTGAAATGGTTTTCTGTGTGGGATGGGGAAGAAGTTATATCGTTTTAAACATAGTCAAAAATGTGAACTTTCTAACCGACACCGGCAAACAAAGTAGCTTCAGGGCTCATTAACCTCGTGACCCCGAGCCGGGGAGCTCCAACAGGCTGCTGAGTCACGCTAACTAAAGGTAACAGAATTGGGCGAAAAGTGACTCCGCGATAGCGTTACAAATACAGTCAAACATACCCATACGACCACCTAACCAAAGTAATCACCTAAGACAACCTCCCCATTGTATAGGAGAAAAGAGATTGTATTAGAGTGGCTGTCTGAAGTGGATGTCTAAGACATTTAGAACAGGATTGACTGTATTATAACATTAAAGAAATGTACACAATTTATGTACGCACTAAAGTACCACAAACTATAATGTTCTTTATATACATGGGATGTAGTCAGCACTGAGTGTTCTGTATGTATTCTGTACCTGGTGTTGTGTGTCTCTGTGCAGTGAGCGAGCAGATGCCACTGGAGCGACCGGTCAGCGTCTCAAGGAAGGAGGCAGCATCAACAAGTCACTGGTCAGCCTGGGAAATGTCATCTCGCTTCTCGGTGAGTCTGAATTGCTTCTCTCGGTTATGGAGAGTACAGTGAAAATAAGATTGAAAATTAGAACTAAAAAGTACAATACATTTTTATTGGAGAATGAAAATAGGATAGAAATAAAATTTCACTTTTATAGGAATGAAAATAAGGTAAGACATAAAATGTAAGTTTTATCAGAATAAAAATACTGTAAAGATAACATACTGTTCAGTGTTTTTATATGAATGAAAATAAGATAAAGGTAAAATGTGTAAGGATTATTATTGTGTGTAGCTCAAGGACAGACCTGATTTACCTGTAAACAGTGATGTAATCTGGACAGCGAATACTCTCAAACAGAACTTTTCATTCTGCATCTAATGTTTCACCTCTTGCATTATTTTTTCTTTGATTTATTTAAGATATCCATGTTTGATACTTGGAATAATTATTTTTACCACATTGCTTGTACAAAATATATTTGCATGTGGAGTCATCGGTACAGTTTGGTTTTAAAAAAAAAAAAGAAAAGAAATTCATGAATATATAAAACTTAGTTGGAATGTTTGGCTAGGCACTGAAATTTGCTGGAATAAATTCAGATTTCAGGAGGTACAAGACATTTGTTCTTATTGAAGTTGCAGTGATATTATTGTAACAGTATTGTAGCTGTGATGTTTTTTTATTTAAAGTTTGAAACGCCCACTCATGCAGTTATTTTTGTGTACCTTCTGCTTGTGTTGTAGCGGAGCGGTCGGAGAACGGCAACAAGGGCCGTAACGCATACATCCCGTATCGGGACTCGGTCCTTACGTGGCTGCTCAAGGATAGCCTCGGAGGAAATGCCAAGACCATCATGATTGCCAGTAAGTCAGCTTGGATGTGTGTTGGAGGGGGGGGGGGGGGTTCTTCTCTCTGTGTAGAGCAGGAGACTCAAACTCCAAATTACCCGAGGGCAGCTGGAGGCGGGGTCTGGATGAGTCTTGGCCATATCAAGTATTCCACAAAGAATAAAAAGGTTTCAAGTTGGGTTTTTTTTATAATGCGCAATGTTCTAATCTTCTCAATCTTTATTAATTGCAGTTCAGAACTAATGTTTTTCCTCTTAAAGGAGTGTGGGAGAAAAATGTGCAAGCTGCACTTCTACTAAACTGATGTCAAGTAGGGGTCGCAAAATCTTCTCTTTATTTGGTCTTGTCAGATCCCTGTTGCTCATCATGATTGACTCATGCATTATTTGATTCTCATCCACACAGCTATCTCCCCGGCTGATGTCAACTATGGAGAGACTCTGAGCACACTGCGCTACGCCAACAGAGCCAAGAACATCATCAACAGACCCACGGTCAACGAGGTCAGTGGAGGTCTTCACACACACACGTGTACTCAACCACTTACCCACCCACACAAACACACACACTCACACACACACACACGCACACACACACACACACACACACACACACACAAACACACACACACACACGCACACACACACACACACACACTTTCATGCACACACACTCTCCACCCGCACACACACAGGGCTCTTCCCCCCACCCTACCCCCTCTCTACCATCCCATGCCTTCTGGTTGGTTAAAAATACATGTCTCCTTTAGAAGGGGGAGGGGGGAATAGGAGGTGGGCTCCCTCCCAGATTGTGCTCATCTTTTTACTAAATCACAAGCTGCCTTGTGGGAAATTGACTCACATGTTAATTGTTGATGAGCTGTTAATTCAATTGGTATCATGCTGGGCTATGCTATGAATGGCCCTTGTTTGGATCTCCAACAGGACAATCTTGAACTTACGTTGTTTTAAAGTTTCAAGGCTGTTTGCTTAGTTTGGCCCTTTGTGAGGTAATGTTAAATTGGAAGTTCCAGCCTCTTAGATAAATTTCTGGTATTAAAAAGAGTGTTTATTCCATACAATTGCCAATTTTTGTCACATATATCACATGCATGTGTTACCTTGAGCAAATGTTGACCTGGTCATGTGTTCCCTCTATTCAGGATCCGAACGTGAGACTGATCAGGGAGCTGCGAGAGGAGATCGCTCGTCTCAAGTCACTTCTAGATGGCGCTCCGGTAAGTTGCTCATTCATGGGTTGAAGGAAAATTGTAGGGATTTGTTCTTTTTGACGAGTAATCAAATATGCCGGCAGTCAAATGAATCTCGACTATTTTGATGGTTTGTACATTACTTTGTGTTCTTTACTTTTCAAGATATTAAAATGTTTTCCATTGATAGAGAGATGCTCTGTGGACACTTCAGCTCCACAATGTTTTCCATTGTTCTCATCTGTATGTTTATGTCTGTCCTTTTTTAATTTGCAGGACATTTCACCAAGAGACCAAGAGAAACTTCACGAAAAGGAAGCTAGGGTAAGTTGCAGACATCAGTGTGTTTTAGATGATTTTAGCAATGTGTATTGTTATTGATTAACATTTTTGGGTGGAGATATGTCTCCCATCCTGCAGGGATTGGTCATGACAGGCAGGTCAGAGTGTTGAGGCGCACTGGTTTAAAAATTATATAAATTGTATCTGTAGGGGAGGGGGTAGGGGATAGTATTAAGTATTTACTACTAAATTAGAACAAAGACTTCCACTGAATGTTGCCTTGTTCATTACATTTCGTCTCTGTCAGGTCTCAGTTTCTGTTTGTCCTCTCTGCTTTTCTCCAGTTGTGAGAAAAAATGTTCATCTCTTGGTACGCAGAAAAAGTTAATGATAAGAGGTTTAGCCTACCCTTGTGTTTTTTCAGAACTAGAAGTTGTACATGCGACAGAAAACGGTTTGTTGAAGCCAGCCTCCAGATGTAAAGATATACGAATGGAAAAACAAAGACCAATTCACCACTATGCGCATTTGTTTCTCTCTCTGCCTTTTTATCCAGATCAAAGTTTTGACGGAGGAGTGGGCCGAGAAGTGGAAAGAGTCGGCCAACCTGCTGCAGGACAAAAACCTGGCACTGCGCCAGGAAGGTCTCGGGGTCATCCTGGACTCAACGTTGCCACATCTCATCGGCATTGATGATGACGTTCTCAGCACGGGCATCAAGTTGTATCACCTCAAGGTCAGCTGGCTTCTCACTTTGTCTCGTCATTTGATTACATATTTTAAAATCAGACTACCCTTGCGTGGGTCGGGAAAAGTTTGGAAAAAATTTGAAATTGTTTACGTTTGCCACCCCTTGCAACTGGACACACTCTCAGGAAGTCAAACAGCTGCATTACAAGAAAAGTGTTAGATTGGAACCCACAGGGTAAAAGATCAAGGAGAAGGCCTCGTGGAACCTGGAGAAGAGTCACGGAAATGGATGTACAGAAAAGTAGGAAGACGTGGAGTGAAATCAAGCGACTAGCCCAGGATAGGGAAAGGTGGAGATATTTTGTTCGTGGCCTATATCCTGACCCAGGGTGAGAAAGACAATGATGATGACCCCTTGCAACATTGTAAGGTTATTTAAGAGGTGGGACTTTCAACCTTAACTTCCATCTTCAATAGGACTGAGCCAAATGAGAAAATTCAGGTCGCGGCCCCCATGTGCTTTTTCGGCCTACTTTTATTAAATGCTAGGGATGAAGATGACGAATTATTTCCAAATTTTTGGTCACTCTATGCGAGGAGTTGGGAATGAGGGATCATCGCCAACATAAATAATCATCCTCATGCTCTCCATCACAATTACCATTACCGTCACCATCGCCAACAACATCATCATCATCATCACCATCATCATCATCATTACCGACTCAACATCCTCATGCTCACCATCACAATTACCATTACCGTCACCATCGCCAACAACATCATCATCATCATCACCATCATCATCATCATCACCGGGGGGGGGAATAATAATTCAGGTCAAGTTTCTTTCCCAAGGACACAATGTCAGACTCTGAGCCCACTGACCACCACACCCTCTCAGTTCGGAGTCGGGTAGCCAAATCACTGGACCATATCTAACATTATAATATCAAACATCTATTACCACAAAATTTACTTTGTAGTTAGACTAGACTTTCCGAAAACATCAGAGTATGTTGGTTTTAATTTAGAAAAATAAGTAACTTCATTTTTTAAAAATCTCTCACTGTGTAATAATGAGTCAAGCGGAGTCACTCATTTTTCTAATGACAGCGGTGCTATGGATGTTTGTTTACTTTGTTGGGGGTGTAAACTCATGTTCCTTATTTCCTCATTTTCTTCCTGGCTATAGGAGGGCATCACAAAGATTGGCTCTGAGGAATCTGAAGAACAACAGGACATCAGTGAGTCAGATAGCCAGAAGTTGTTGTTGTTGTTGCTGTTGTTGCTGTTGTTGCTGTTGTTGTTGTTTTGTGTGTGTTGTTGTTGTTGTTGTTGCTGTTGTTGTTGTTGTTGTTATTGTTGTTGCTGTTGTTGTTGTTTTGTGTGTGTTGTTGTGTGTATGTGTGTGGAAGCTGACTGCGTCATTGCTGCTGTGTAGCCCCAGGGCCACCATCTTCTTTGGTTGGCGAGTAAGGCAACACAACCCTCCACAGTCCTCTCCAAACTGTTGCCACGGTTTGTGCTCAGTGGCTCAGTGGCTGGGTTTTTCTGGAGCTAATGTGCCAGGTCTTTTGTTGTTGTTGTTGTTGTTGTATGGTTGTTTTTGTTGTGGTGATTGTTGTTGTTGTTTTATGGTTGTTTTTGTTGTGGTTGTTGTTGTTGTTGTCAGGTGTTGTCCCAGGGTTGGGGTAGATGTGCCATGACTCCTTAAACCAATCTGTACCTCACCACTGTTGTTTCCTTCTGTACCTCACCTCTGTTGTTTCATTCTGTACCTCACCACTGTTGTTCACTCCTCCAACCTTCTGCCTTCTCTCCATTCTTTTATATCGTCTCTTTATTGAGAACTTGTGGCCTGGTCTGTGTCGTTATTTACAATAATAAACTGTGACCTTGAGGTTATGTTATTGTTAAGAATATAGACTAAGAAGATGAAAGATGATACTTGTAGAGAAGTTGCTGATATTGATATTGAGTAATGTGTTGAAAATATGAACTGGTAGACAAAGAAGAAGAAAGTAATTGTGATAGAGCCAAAGCAGCCAGCCTCCCAAGTGATCAAAGTTGTCTTGTTATGGGCGTGAAACATTTTTTTCAATCAGCATTGTACAAACGTGTCATCTCTCACTTTTCCTGTTGCTCACTCATCTGTTCTTGCAGTTATCGCGGGGCCGGAGGTCACCACAGAACACTGCGTGATTGAACACCAGGACGGCAGCGTCTTCCTTCACCCCATAGAGGGCGCTCTCTGTGCCGTCAACGGACACGCCATAGGCGAGCCCACCAAACTTACACAAGGTGAGACTAAGTGAGGATGTCATTGTTTCAAGAGATAAAGAGAGAAACAAGATGAAAGTGAAACATTTGAATTGACCAGCGTATGAAAAGTAAGATTTTAACTTATAAAAACTGACTTTTATGTTGAAGCTGTTTCCAGTGTTTCCAGTTAGCTTACCCCATAAAGGTAAAATAACGATGATGATAATAGTAATAATAATAATAATAGATCATCTGTCAAAGTCTGATGATGACCAGTGCATCTGCAGAAGAGTATATTTCTAAAGCAAAATAGAAGGATAAGGATTAAGATGTTTTGTGGTTTCTTCTATGTCCAGTGACACCAGTGTTTTGTCAGCAAAAGGTTTGCAACATTCTGAGCATTTAAAAGCTTCATTTCCACTTTTGGATGTGCTCAGCTTGCGGGATTTCTCTTGGCTTCAGCATTTCTAATTTGTGAAGCCTTAATGATTTGCTGCCCTCTGTGATTGTTGCTCTCCTACTGGGTCTTCCAGGAACTAGACTCTCCCATGTCAAGGGTTTAATGTTGAAGTCTTTCAGAGACCTGCTCAGGGTGTTTTTGTAGCACTTTAAGGGTAGAAAGTGACTTTAACATGTTGAGATTTTTTAACTATGTCACTTCACACAGTGAGGGGAGTGTGAGTGCTAGATGTGGACAGAACTGACCACCGGGCAGCGTGTGAGTCTATTTTCCTGTTGTAGTAGGTGGTGTTGTTTGTCACAGCAGAGAATAGTTTTTGTGCTGTGCTGGTCTCCGTTGTCTGTCCTTGATGATCCCGTCTGGCTGGTGAGGCCAGTCGGGGAAGAAAATGCCCGTCTCTGTTGTAGTAGACATGTCTCTGTTGTAGTAGACATGTCTCTGTTGTAGTAGACATGTCTCTGTTGTAGTAGACATGTCTCTGTTGTAGTAGACACGTCTCTGTTGTTTGTAGACAGAAAACTGTGTTGTGGCCTGTCTGTGTGTTTACGGGCAACCTCTGAAAGCATTACATTTCTGTCGCAAGAATCAATTCATGTAACTCTGTGTGACCCTGCTTTTCAGGGTGAGTAAAAAAAAAAATATGGGAGTTTACTCATGATTTTCTTGTGGCAGCCGCGAATATCTACCCCACTGGGAGTCTTGTTATAGCTGTGTCTGGCATGGAATCCCTACAGGAGCATGACTTGCATGTTTATTGCCTTCCCATTTGTGCCCTATGTTTATGGAACTTAATGGTTGTAATAGGTGCTGCATCTTTTGTCTTTGTAATAATGATACTTTGAGAAATGGGCGGGGGTGTCAGGGATTCATGTGATTGTGTATAAGAATTGAATATATAATATATACTTGTATGTATCTGTGTATACCTACCAACCAACCTAGTTAACTAGCTAGTCACACACATGATATACTGTTATGTTATTATTTCTTAGACTAGAGAAATTTCCACCTGTTTCATGTGTTGCTGTCGCCCCTGCGTCATGTGCTATGTTCCCCTGTCCTGTCCGGCTCAGGCATGTTGATCACTCTGGGCAAGACCAACATGTTCCGGTTCAACCACCCCGAGCAGGTGAAGGAGTTGAAGAAAATGCAGACCAACGTGAGGAAGGTTAGTGCTGGACAGTGGCTGACCGCTGGTGTGGGTGGGTGCTGACCGCTGGTGTGGGTGGGTGCTGACCTCAAGATTTCCACCATGATATAGTTTTGGTTTTTAATTCAGGGCACCTCAGTCACCTCTGTGTCATAGAGACACACAATGCTGTGTCCCCTCTGTGTCATAGAGACACACAATGCTGTGTCACCTCTGTGTCATAGAGACACACAATGCTGTCACCTCTGTGTCATAGAGACACACAATGCTGTGTCACCTCTGTGTCATAGAGACACACAATGCTGTGTCCCCTCTGTGTCATAGAGAAACACAATGCTGTGTCACCTCTGTGTCATAGAGAAACACAATGCTGTGTCACCTCTGTGTCATAGAGAAACACAATGCTGTGTCCCCTCTGTGTCATAGAGAAACACAATGCTGTGTCCCCTCTGTGTCATAGAGAAACACAATGCTGTGTCACCTCTGTGTCATAGAGACACACAATGCTGTGTCCCCTCTGTGTCATAGAGAAACACAATGCTGTGTCACCTCTGTGTGATAGAGACACACAATGCTGTGTCCCCTCTGTGTCATAGAGAAACACAATGCTGTGTCCCCTCTGTGTCATAGAGAAACACAATGCTGTGTCACCTCTGTGTCATAGAGAAACACAATGCTGTGTCACCTCTGTGTCATAGAGAAACACAATGCTGTGTCCCCTCTGTGGTGCGTTGGAGTTAAAGTACACACTATTGGCTTGTTTTGTAGCCTTTCTGTGCTGTGTCCTTACTTGTCCTTACTTGTCCACTGTGTTGGGGTCACTGCAATCGGAACATGTCCATCTCTGCTCTCCTTCCCTCTTCAGGGTCCATCCCAGAGTCTGTCTACTTATAGTCTCTGTGTTGTGTGTCATGCTTAAAGCCAGTACTGTGGAAACCCTGAACAGATGAGTAAAAGAAAAGACCTGGACCGTAGATAACCGTAGATATGGTTTTTAGAGCATCCAAGCAGAGAAAAGAGCTGCGAACCATAATCGCCGATGTCTATTTTTGGTCTGGCACTTGATGATGATGATGATGATAGTCTTGTAAATTTGCTAGGGTAAAACGTTTTCTTTCCTAAAAGATTTTTAAAGCATGGAGTTCACCTCTTCAGGTCTTTACAAGGTTCAGATATCTCAGTCCACATCAAGAGGTGGAGGGGGGAATAATATAGTTGTGTAGTTGCCCAATCATATGTCATAGCATAGTTACTTCATAGAAATGACTTTTTGGCTGTGGATATATTATTCTGCTTCATATATTTATAGCGTAGTAAACAGTAGCTGTAAATCATCTCTCTCTTTGAAGTTTTTTATTGCTTTTTGATGTATGTGAGGCAGCGTGGTGGAATCAGGCTCTCGTCAATTTTTGGGCATGTAGAGTTATTGGTATCATCTTAAAGCTTGTTCACTTGTCTTTTTTTGGATAAAAAAAATGTCCATTTATCTCAAATACAAGTCAAGATATTGGCGAATGAAGGAGGTCAGGGTCACCTGTTTTCAGATGAAAAATTAGTGAGAAAATGGCCGTCAAAGATTGGTTATTTCCTTAGCTTAAGAGTCCGTGGCAACTGAAAATTTCCTTTTTTTTTGTGCCTTTAATCAACGTTTTTCTGAAAAATCCACACAGAAATGAGTTCTTTAATGGGAATGAAAGGTGTTGAGCCAAAAAACAAAAATTTGAAAAATATTCACAAACCTGCGGAAAAAAACAGGTTTCTTCAATTTAATTATTTTGATGAGAGCCTGATTCCACCATGCTGCCTCACATATTCATTGCATGTACACTAGTATAGGAACCTCCTTTATAAACGGAGTGATTGATATGATATGTTGCTACGTCTGCCTGGTGTTTCGTTTCTCTTTATTCAATTTGTAGAACCAGAATGATTAACTGACTTTACTGTAGGGCTGGTTTTATGAATTGTTTTATAGTCTACAGACGCTACGTGCATCTTTTGTAGATTAAGAAAAAGCATGTTGATTACCTGTGATGGAAAAAGCAGACAGATGGGTTAGAAGGTGCTACTGGTAGGTCCTTCTTGACTCTTCCTCTGTTGTTTCTGTCCATGGGTCTTGCTTTATCCCATCACCAAATTGATGCCACTGTGTCTATGTAATTTTTTTTCCCCCAAATAATGGAAGGAGCAAGAGCAAATATTAGTTTTCTTTTTAAATTAATTGGTTTATTTTTATGTTTATTTTTTTTTAAAATAGGTTGGGGTGTTTTTTTTGGGGGGGGGGGTTGGGGGGGTTAAAGGGGATGGGGGTTCACACCAGTAACATAGTGATATGAAACATAAGAGATGTTCGATCAGCTGATGCCCTCTATCACTCTGTAGCCTATACCATACTAACAAGTTTGTGTGAAATGTTTCATCTATTGATTTCATCTACCATTCTTGATCCAATACCGTACTAACAAATGTGCTTGTTTGTCTGTGGGCTAGTCTGCCTCCACCATCAGCCTCCACCAGGGTGGAGAGGCGGCCCCCAAGCTCTCTCTCCTCAGCCAGTCCATGTCGGATCTGTATCGGTCCAACGAGAGCCTGGCTCTCAACGGCTCTTTGTAAGTTTTCCCACCTCTTTCTGCTTGCTTTAAGGGTGCGCACACTATGAGGTGAAGTCAGTCAAATGGTTTTACTTGCATATCAAGACGTCATTTGACTTCTGAATCTTATGGATAGCATTTTATTTGTTTGCTTTTTTTTTCAGTCTTCATATATCTCTGACCTCGAACAAATGTGTACTTATTGTGTTGCAAGTGCAGTAAAACTTTTTCTAAAACTAAGACAAATGGATATCGGGAAAAGACCAAATTTGTATAGTTTTTGTAGAGCATCCAAACAGAGAAATGAGTGGTGATCCTTTGTTGCTGATGACTGTTCCAGATCTAGCATTCGAAAAAGAAGAAGAAGAAATATAGCTAATTTGTGATTTTTCCAAAAGTCCATCTTCTTGCAGCATTAGTAGTTACTTATAAGTCCTGTTTAGAGCTTTGGAGTTACCGGTACTCTTTCATATTTTTTTGACAGCCACAATAATTATCTACCTTACTCGAAATCTTGTCATAGCTATGTGACCTGAAATTTCTACACCATCATGACTTGCATGTTTATTGACTTTCATTCGTCGTTCATTACACTTAATGGTTACAACCAGTAGCTATATCTTTTGTCTTTGTAATAAGGATGTCTTGTGGCAATAATCATGCCTGATGATATAAAAGATAAATAAACAGAATAAAGAGTAAATATCAAGGGGCCACATATAAAATTTTCATATCAAATGTCCAGATTCTTGAAATTTCCCCTGGCAACTTTTAGTTTTATATAACTACTGTATTAAGATTCCCTGTAAGCTTCGTTCTGAAGAGAGACCATGAGACCTCTCTCACGAATCAACTTTCAAATTTGAATCGCCTACAAATTTTTGTGTTGTTCAGATTGACATCAATTTCTGAATCCAACCAGATTTAAGCATCATATCTGCTGTGGATATATATATATTTGAAGTTAATATCCCTCATGTGTACAGTTTTTGGGTCAGACTTTTCACTCAAGAAAATGTTATAACATGTTTTGTTCCATTTTTGGCGCATACACTAACCTGTGGCCATTATTGGCAAGTATTGTATTTCAAATAGATTATTTTCTTTAAACGCGCAAATATTTCCTCGCTCATACTAAGTAGTCAGTACCGAACTACAGGGGCCAGGGCCAGTGGTGGGTTATCCTTGTTGAATGACGTCACTGAGATACCTTTGACCCTGACTAGTCACATCGTGTGTGCACCAATGTTACATTACTATTTTGTCACTGACATAACACAATCGCCTAATCTTTTTTTTTCCCCGTTGTTTTTAGAAAACTTGAGAAAACGTTGCTCATCTGAGTGATCTTTATGACTTGAACAAAGTGAAAATGCTGTATTGAGGATGTGAAACTACCGAAGCAAGCAACTGTCATATTCACCATATTATTAAATGTCAGAAACTTGAAAAAAAATTATTTAGGCAATTGTGTTATGGTCGGGATGATTTCTCTTTAACACACTAACACAGATCTATGTTCAGTTTGTATCTTCAGTGAAAACGAAACTTTTGATTTATTTTACTCTTAATGTCTTAACACTTGTTTATATCTTGTGAAAGGAACTAAATTAATAAAGTAACCTGTTTGTGTTGGAAAAGTAACGTTAAAGCATTTTTTGTTGTTTCAGTGGTTCATGGTTTAACTTGAGAAATCCATACGAAATAAATCGGTTATCTTATCATTTGTTGACTAATTGACAATATCCGTTTATCCGTTGTTTCTTTGTATTGTTTTGTTTTTTTGTTCACAGACTGTCTTTGTATTTGGAAAGGTATAGGAAAAGCTTGTGTAGCACTATAAAGCTTTTATAGGAAAGTTTGTTATACTAATTCTGAAGAAAAGAACAAATCATTTGAGGTTATGCCATACTGTTCATAGGACACTACGTCATCTAGTTTAGTTGATGCTATGTCATATTGTTTGTTTTGACATTACGTCATACAGCTCCTTTGACCTATGCCATAAAGTTTGTTTGACAATACGTCATATGTTTTATTTGACGTTACACCGTATAGTTTATTTGACATTATGCCATACAGTTAATTTTACGTTGCATCATACCGTTTATTTGACGTTGTGTCCTATGAATTAAATTCAGTTTTTCTCAGATGCACATTTACATTTACACAGCTAAGTACACTGTCAGAGCAATGCTACCTACATCCAAGTACCGTGCAGTCATTGTTGTATCAGCCGGCATCTTGCTTCTTAACTATCTGCCTGTTTTAGCTCGTGCATTGCATCGCGTATACTTTCACAGATTCCTTCACTGTTTTCTCTCTGATTTGTCTGCTTGTAGTCGTGCCACATAAAACGCAGCTCATAACTGAAGCTTATAGTAGACTAGATAGGCTTTGTCACCGTAGGCAATGTCTGTGGTGTGGCGGTAAGACTCTTGGCCCTTAGACGAAGAAGATGTGAGTACGATTCCGGAATGAGGAAGTTATTTTATCAAATAAATCAAGCACGTCCATCTTCCTGCAGGGATGTTGTATCCCACTCAGCCCTGGATGGTCCTGACAGGCAAGGCCAGAGCAGCTTGCCTCTTAAATGGTCTAAACTGTGGTGAGGAGGGAGGGGTTTAAAACCTTTGCAATGAAAAGGTTCTCTGCCTGCTTTCCGGAGTCATGTCGGAAACAGGCATTGATTGCGGAATTCTCATCTCTTTAGCTACCTTTACAGTGTTGAAAGTGACGTAAAGCCATACAAGTTAGTATTGTCACAGACCACTGCACTACCCCGCATCCCCCCACATCTGAGCTAGTGGATCCCCCCCCACGAGCTGGTGGTACTTGCGTAATAACTGGCGCGTCGTCTTGTGTGTCGTGTGTAGGTGGGACATCAGCTCGACCACGTACAGGGAGGATCAGGAGGAGCTGGAGCAGAAGAGGTAAACACACATACAAAACACATTCACAAACACACACACAAACACACATACAAAGCACATATGAACAAACACTCAAACAAAACACACATATACAAACACACATACAAAACACCTGCACAAACACACATACAAAGCACACATGAACAAACACACATACAAAACACACATATACAAACACACAGACAAAACACACATGCGCAAACACATGAGCACAAACAGACATGCACAAACACACATACAATACACACTTGCACAAACACACCTACAAATACTAGCATTCACGCATACACGTAAACGCGTTTACAAACAGGGATAACCAGCAGGAACTTGAACAGAACAGAAGAGGTAAACACACATATTACACAGACTGATGTACACATACTCTCACATACACACATATAAACACACGTATAAACATATGCTTGTATAAACACTGACATACAGGGGGGAATCGGCAGGAATTGAAGAAGAAAAAAAGGTAAACACACATGAGTACACACAGACAGACAGGATAATGTTCAGACACTCACACAAACAGTCACACACTTGTGTATACACAGACAGACAGGATAATGTTCAGACACTCAAACAAACAGTCACACACTGGTACACACACACAGACAGGATAATGTTCAGACACTCACACAAACAGTCACACACATGTGTACACACAGACAGACAGGATAATGTTCAGACACTCACACAAACAGTCACACACTTGTACACACAGACATGCAGATTGATGCATGCACGCTGCTTCAAGCACACACAAAAGCACATGCACTCACATACACACACACACACACATATGCACACACACACACAAACACAATCGCACACTTGCACTTATGGACATGCATGCTGATGCATGCACACTCTTCCAAGCACACACATACACAGGCACACAAAGGTACATGAGCATGTACACTCAAACATTCGTGCTGATGCACACAATTTCACAAACACACACTCACACAAACACACACACACTTAAACACACATTTGTACACAGTGACATTCAGCCTCACACTCATGAACATACCTTCTCATGTACACACAAATAGATCAACACACACGTACACACACACGCACGCACACGTATAAATTTGTGCGAAGGCACACACGCTCACACACACACACACACACACACACACACACACACACACACACACACACACACACACACAAGTGGGTAGACATTCAGGCTGGGTACTTGCAGTACTTGTAGGCGTTGCTGTTTCCTTTTTTGTTTTTTTTGCTTTTCTTCTATTTTGCCATTTTGCTATTCGGAAATATCTTAAACGAACAGAATTTTTTCAAGATTCTCAGTTCCAAAAAAAACTGACTACTGAAAATTTCAGGGAATTTATTTAAACTCCTTTTGGTAAAAGAAAAATTGCTATTGTCTATTAACTTCCCCCCCCCCCAAAGTTGACTTTTGCTTGGTACGGAAATTTTTAACTTTTTTTTATTTGTTGTTTTTTGTCTGGTTTTGTTTTGTTTTTGTGTCTTTCAGGTTTCTGTCAGGTGGCTTTGATGCTTGGTTTTGTTTTACGTCTGGCTTTTTCAGAAGTTTTGTTTTAAGAAAAAGAAGTCTTCTTATATGTGCGTGAAGATGTTAATGAGAGGACTTTACCTCTGGTGAGGTCCCCTTTGAAGGACTCACATTGATAATATATGCTTCTTTCTCTCTGTCCCAGATAATCACAATTACAGTTAATATTAACTCTGGTCTCTGGTCCTTCTCCACCTACCCATGGGGCGAGATACACACGCACACACTCACGCGCGTGCGCACGCACACTCACACACACACACACACACTCACACACACACACACACACACTCACACACACACACACACAAACCTTCACACTTACACGTATGCAGTTTGTTCATATAATATATAGAATGAAGTGATTACACATATATTATGTATAACATGTCGAGTTCCCTCCTTTCTCTAAGGACAACCTACCTCCCCTTTTAATTGCTTTTTGGTGTCGGAAGAGATGAGTTTTACATATGGGAAGAAGTATATCCAAGCCTTGCTCGTGTTTTACGCCTTTTTTGTGCATGCTGGCCCAGTTTTTCTTGACTAATCCTATTCAGTGCTTTCTTACTTGCATTACTTAGCTGACCAGTGAAATGTTGTAATCATTGTTTTAACTAATGCAAGATTAATTTAAAGCCAATGCGCAAGCTCGCAAGGCTATGCAGACTCTCAGATAAACAATGCATGTGTTTGGTTTGTTTTGTTGTGATGCTTCCCCCCCGAGTCACTGCTTCTGTCATGATTTGATGCATGGGAATGTTCAGGCTTGGATTTGCATTATGTTTCTTCAGAATTCTCTCTTTCTCTCTCTCTCTCTCTCTCTCTCTTTCTCTCTTTCTCTCTCTCTCTCCCTCTCTTTCTTTCTCTCTCTTTCTCTCTCTCTCTCTCTCTCTCTCTCTCTTTCTCTCTCTCTCTCTCTCTCTCTCTCTTTCTCTCTCATCTCCCCCTCTCTCTCATCTCCCCCTCTCTCTCATATTCCCTCTCCCTTTTCTCTCTTCCATACTGGCAACTTAAACTGAATTTTCCAAAATGCTTTTGGGCAGTCATATGTTGGTTTAATTTACTGGGGGTTTTGCTTTGGTTTGGGTTTTGTTGTTGTTTGTTTGTTGTTGTTTTTGTTTTGTTTGTTTGTTTTTTGGGGGGAGGAGGGGGGTTGCCTGTTAGCATTGTGTGACACTATCATCACAGTGCTGTATCATGGCTTTAGTAAGGAATTGATGTTATGTCCCTTAAAAAGGGTCAGTAGCCTAAGTATGAGAAAGAGAGAGGGAGAGAGAGAGTTATGATTTGATTTTTCCAGTGGTCTGGATCAGTCCAACTCATTGCGGTCTCTTAACTAAATGGTTCTGTGTGTGTCCAGTATACTTAAGGTTAAGGGCCTTTTACATACCCATAGATTTGCTTGGATATTGAATAAAAGAGGTGCTTAAATCATGTAATATAAATTAGTACAGAGTGGCTCTACTTACTTGCAGAATGGGTGGTTGGCAGGTGCTCTGGTGTGGTTTGTTTCTTCTTTCCTATCAAACATCTATCGTCCTTATCTCCCCTTATTCTTTTTTATGTTTGTTACTCTCTTGTAACACCTCTAATCTTCTGGTGCTCATATGACCTTATGCAGTTGCGAGCGCTGTAAAACCTCTACTAAAACTAAACTTACTTTGAGAGAAATATAAAAACGTACATTTTTGTTCACTCATGGCATTCTCGTAGCATTCAGTTGTATGAACAGGTTATTGGCACGACATACTTTAAGACAGACAAGGAAATTGTACATTTTACTTCGTCACGACTCTTATAGCTGGCAACATTCTGCTGTTTCTTCTTGGTAGATTTGGTTTGTCATGAATTAAAGTGAAGATTTTCTCTCTCCCTCTCTCGCTATCTCTCTCTCTCTTTTCTCTCTTTTCTCTCTCTTTTCTCTCTCTTTTCTCTCTCTATCTCTCTCTGGAAGTAGAAGTAGTTTGATGTGAAAAATGTGGAATAGAAGAGTTAAGTGAAAAATGCATTTAATTTATTATTGTTTTATTGGATCAGCATTTGACTCACAGGGGTAAGTGTCTAAAAAGTTGTGTGGGTGTCTGGGGGCATTGCTGGTTGGCCATACTTCTTTTCTGTCTCTCCTGTTGTTTTGTTGTTTTTCTCTGTCCTGTCTATCTCAATTTTACCCAGACTTGAATGGTTTTAATTGCATCGACGTGTTTCTCACGTGCTCCAACTAAATTCCCTGTTTCTAGAAAATTGTTGTGAAAATTTTTTTCAAGATTTTGAATAATGAATGTAGACGTTAGTCTTATTGATTCAATGATTGTGGATGGTTGGGGGGGGGGTGTCTAGTTAGTCCTGTGTTTTTCGTCTTTACTGTCCTTCTGTTGTTTCTGCCAGTCGGTCGGGCTTTTCCCTAGCTAAATACTCACCATTAGTGGTGCTCTAATGAACTTCTCTTGAACACAAAGGACGCTCTGTTACCTCAGTTGTTATTATGCTGGACTACGGAGCAGATGGCCCTGGTTTGAATCTCCAACCAGGCTTTCTTGAACATGGGTTGCTTTGTGGAGTTTTCAAGTCTCTCAACCCCTCTGACTCAGTCCTGTTGGACATTGATGTTAGATTCCCCAAGGTCCTGCCTCTTCAATGACCTAACATTGTTGAAAAGGGCGTTCTTCTATGTATGTGTGCTAACATTGTTGTAGGTCGTAGAAGAAGGGAGCAAAAATTGTTCATGCAGGACGTTGTTGGATATTATCTATGTGAGCAAATAGTTCTTTTAAAAAATGTACTGTCCGTGTGCGATGTTAAATATGAAGTTGTGCATAAAGTGAGACAAAATGAGCCTAAATTGTTGAGGTAAGGTGTTGAGTATGATTTTGTAGGATGTTGATGAAGTGAGCATCTTGTCAATGTAAGATTTTGAAAATACCATTATAGAATGTTGACTAAGTGAGTATATTGTGTATTTGACTTAGTGAGTTTATTATTATTGTGTATTTGATGAAGTGAATATATTGTGTATATGACTAAGTGAGCGTTTTACTAAGTGAGTGTATTGTGTAGATGCCGAAGTGAGTATATTGCGTATATGATGAAGTGAGTATACTGTGTATTTTACAAGATGAGTATATTTTGTAGATAGTGAAGTGAGTATATTATTGTGTATTTGACTGAGTCAGTATATTGTGTATTTGACAAGATATTATTAGTATATTGTATAGTGAAGTGAGTATTTTGTACCCGGCTATAGACAGCGAAAGATCTTGTCAGTTTGTTAGTGTTTGAGTGCTTAATCAGCTGCTTGCACTGTATGCTTCCCGGGTAGCTGAGAATGTTTCGGAGTGTTCTATGGTCTGCTGGGGTAATAATATAGTGTAAAACGCATAGATCTTGTTGTTGAGCGGGGATATGCTCTATACAAATGCTATTTATTGTTATTATTATTATTTATTATTTTGTGTATTTGACTGACTCAGTATATTGTGTATTTGACTAAGTGAGTATACGTAGTGTATATGACTAAGTGATTACATTGTGTATTTGACTAAGTGGGTATACCTAGTGTATATGACTAAGTGATTACATTGTGTATTTGACTAAGTGAGTATATGTAGTGTATATGTCTAATTGAGCATGTCTTTGTTTCAGGATGGAAATCATGGAGCTTGAGGACACGTACACCAGCAGGGAGGAACAGAGGAGGGAGATGGAGAGACAGGTGCAGGAGGAGTTGGCCGAGAAGAACGACAGATTGATGCAGCTGGAGGAGGAGATTGATACCATCAAGAGCAAGGTGACCAGTGGGCGCTGTGTGTCGCCATGACCCGTGGCCGTGGCGTGTCGCCATGACCCGTGGCCGTGGCGTGTCGCCATGACCCGTGGCCGTGGCGTGTCGCCATGACCCGTGGCCGTGGCGTGTCGCCCATGACCCGTGGCCGTGGCGTGTCGCCCATGACCCCGTGGCCGTGGCGTGTCGCCATGACCCGTGGCCGTGGCCGTGTCGCCATGACCCGTGGCCGTGGCGTGTCGCCTTGACCCGTGGCCGTGGCGTGTCGCCATGCTTGTTGCCATGTGTTTGCTTGTTGGTTGCTGTCCGTTGCGTTGTGTTATTGTTACTACACGTTGGCCTGTTGGTTACTGTCTGTCAGTGTGTTCATTACCTTCTGGTGGCATATTTGTTACAATGTGCTTGTGTTATTGTAACTACACGTTGGCCTGTTGGTTACTGTCTGTCAGTGTGTTCATTACCTTCTGGTGGCATATTTGTTACAATGTGCTTGTGTTTTTGTTACCATGTGTTGGCCTGTTGGTTACTGTCTATCGGTATGTTTGTTACCATGCGTTTGCTTCATGTTGGTGTTTTCGTTACTTTACATTGATGTGTTTGTTACCGTGTGTTGGTGTGTGTTTCTCATCATATCACGACCTCGGTGCTTTCTTGTGGTATCTCCATTTTTGATAACAGTGAAAACAGTTCATAACAAAGATTGAGCGTAAAAAGAAGTCACATTTTCACTGTTAAAAAATTGGATCAAGGATCATGCGTCTCATTCTGGTTTTTGTTGAGTGTACCATTTAGGACATTCATGATCATGTTTGCTAGAACTACTTCCTTTCATGAGCCTAATTTTCTCAAAGATCAGTGTGCTAGGTTGGTTTTAATATTGTTATTGGTTTCATCATTGATATTTTTATTAATATTACTATTATTAGGATCAGTATTTTTATCATAGTAATTATTAGTAGCAGTGTTTTATATTATCAATGTTTTTCGTAATATTATTGTTGTTTATTATTATTGTCTTTGTCTATTTTCTGTAATTATTTCTCTAATTGTTATTATCATAATTGTAAATGTTATTGTTATTATTATACCATCGTCATCATCATTACTATTGTGATCATAGACATAGGTCTGTTATCCTGATGCTCTGTAGAATTGTGAATGGGCTGATTTATCAATGTCATGCTCATACTGTGCCGGAACAACATAGGGGGAACTGCTGCTTTTTCTTTCCTCATCCTTACTATCGTCATTTCCTCTACGTCTTTTGTATGTTTGTCACTCTCTTGTGAACTGCTATTTCCGGTGTGCCTTGATAGTTGAAGCAGACTTTGTGCTGTTGAGGCTAGAGAGGTGAGCAGAGTACACCTGATTCCCCATTTAGACTTCTCTGTTGACATCCACCCCTTGGCGCTCATATGACCTTATTCAGTTGCGAGCGCCGAAAAACCTTACTAACATCCCCCGGGGCAGTGCCACTGACTGAAGTGTCTTTAGGCCATTCCCAAACGGGGGACATTTCTCGTTCTAATGCTCAGTAGAATTGTAAATGGGCTGATCTAACAATGTCATGCTCATAACTGTGCCTGAACTACAGCAGGGAACTGCTGCTTTTTCTTCCCTAATCCTTACTATAATCATTTTCCTCTACATCTTTTGTATGTTTGTCACACTCTTGTGACCTGCTTTTTCCGGGGTGCCTTGATAGTCGAAGCAGATTTTGGGCTGTTGAAGCTAGAGAGGTGAGCAGAGTAAGTCTGACTCCCTGTAAGGACTTCTCTGTTGACATCCACCCCTTGACGCTCCTATGACCTTATGCACTTGCGAGCGCCATTATACCTCTACTAAAAACGAAAACCTCTACTAAAACTAAAAAGTTTACTAAAACAAAAATGTTTGTCTGACAGAACAACCCGTACGACAACATTGTGGAGGGTCTGAGGCAGTTGGACAGGCAGGAGGAGGAGCTGTTGGAGGACTTGAGAATCTCGAAGGAAAATCTGCTCAAGGTGGGCCAATAAATGGGGAGTTTGTTGGTTCCAGTAGGGAACGGGATAGAGGGTGCCCACGTCCGTCGTGACTCATTGGAGCAGAGGAAGATAGGACTAACGCTAACATTGCTTAAACACAATCCCATAATCATCACTCATCACCACCATTATTTCTAAAATCATCATTGCTCTCAGATCAATGACTTACATCTATAATCCTTGAATTTCTATCTGTAACAGTTACTTGTTATACTAAGTATGCACGTAATACGCTATTGGACACTATCATACGCACTTTTTTCTACTTATCAGATGGCGTCAATCTCGTATAAATGAGCAAGGGATAAAAAAAAAAAAGAGTTTATTCTCTTTAGGTGCGATCTTATGTTTTACAGAATGAGTAAATGACTTAGTTTATGATCACAATCTGACTGGCATCTGTGGTGCAGCTGTTAGCACTTCGCTGTAGTATTAAAAAAACCTGAGTTCAATTCCTGTGCAGGGAGAATTTGTCTTAAATGTCTTGGACTTTTTTTTGGGACGTTTTATCCTTCTTTGCCCGGGTTAGCCGTGGGCTTGTCTACTACAGAGTAATGTTGATTGGGGTGTAAAACACCTGCATATTAAAAAAAATAATCCCACTTTTATGTACAGGATGACTTCTTCAAGATCCAGATCTGAAACAAATACTTTTCACCTTTACACTTATAAAACATGAGGTCAATTCTTGTGTGGGGAAGATATTTTATCCGATGCCTCAATCATCAGTCTGCTGGGATGCTGTATCCAATATATCTAACCAGTCAGAACCTCCAATCTCATGTGATGATGATATTTCTAACCAATCAGAAGCTCCAATCCCATGTGATGATGATATTTCTAACCAATCAGAAGCTCCAATCTCATGTGATGATGATATTTCTAACCAATCAGAAGCTCCAATCCCATGTGATGATGATATTTCTAACCAATCAGAATCTCCTATCTCATGTGATGACGATATTTCTAACCAATCAGGAAGTCGAGAACCTGACGTGGTACCCGGACCAGGTCCGGGAGGAAGAGGTTATCGCCAGCGTGGTGGCTGACCTCAACAAACAGATCTCAGACATGGAGAGACAGATCGACGACTTCAAGGACGCCGCCCAGATGCAGAAAGAGGCGTTGTCAGGGGAAGAGAAGGAGGTATGGAGATGATTGTCTGATGATAACCAATAGTTTAACTCTTTATCTCCGGCAAGCCACTCCCAGCGGCTGGAACCGCCATGCCGGTGAGTTGCTGCTCGGGCACATTGCTTTACAACTTCGACATCAAATTGCTTTTCGTAATTGCCGAAAACAAGTCTCTTTTATGGAGAGTTCACTCATTAGATGAAGAACTATCAAAATAGGTTCACCTGTCTTGATTTTATTACCGATTTAGTGAAGTTTTTGTCAATTTTAGATTAAGTACCGAAAAAGGGCCCGGCATAGTGGGTTTACCCCCCTCGGAGATAAAGAGTTAACATAAGCAGTGTCGGGGACAAACCAGTCTGTTCCAAGATAGACTTAGTTGGGGTTTTTTTAGACCTTTGTTGGAATGCTATAGTTTTAATCTATGGGAGTCGTTTATCAAATGGAGAGCTCATGATTAGTATATCTTGGCTTGCCACCTTGATAAAGAATTTTACGCACATGTAATTATATATATATAAGCTTTTCTACTCTTGTTATAGTCCCACTCAAAAATTATTCCAATAAGATTCCAAGTCTTCTTTTCCAGCAAAGATATTTCTTTTTGTTTGCTTTCAAATGTCAAAGTTGACCCCGTTTTTTATTCGCCACTGTGATCAGTGTCTTTGTACTATGGTTAGTCCATGTGACCCAAATACAGGGTGTTTGACGGTGGCCTTATTACATCAGCTAGGTTAATATCCGTTGTTGGGAAATTTGTATCAGTTTGAAATTTGATATTGCTTTCAGCTTATGTTCCGAAAGAAAAAATACTCTTTGTCATGAGACAAAAATTCATGTCCTTCCCTTGTGTATTTTTTCTAAATGCTGGAAACAACTGTTAGTAATACAGTTGTTTTCATGTCGGCATTGTTGTTATTTCAAAATATCTGGATCATTTACTGTGCGTGGGACTAGAAAATTTTCTGGTTTCTCACTTACATTGTGTGTTTGAAGAGAGTGTTTGTGTTTTCTCTCTACTGATTGCTTTTTAATGAAGAAGAATGTGTTTTAACAAGAGTTTCTGTTTTCTGTCATGAGAATACGGTTTAACAAAGTGTTTGTTTTCAAAGATGAGAATGTGTTTTCTTTCCTGCCAGGCTAAATACAATTCTGTATGTCATACACACACACACACACGTGCGCGCGCGCGCACATACACACACACATACATACACCCATACATACACGTACACGCTCATACACACACATTCATCCACACCCACAATAGATGTACATGCACACTTAAACATCCATTTGCCCTCTAACATGCATACATACACTTAAACACATACACGCACACTCACACACACACACACTCACACTCACACAAACACAAACAGCAAACACACGCAAACACACTCACACACACACCTACACACACACTTAACACACTTACCGAAACAAACACACACACAGACAGAATTGTGAATCCCGTCTCCCATACCCCCCACAGGTGTTAGAGAAGCAGCGCCTGCTGGCCTTAGAGCTCTCCTCCTTGGAGGCAGACTACGAGGCGGAGAAGTGTCAGCTGCTGTTCGACACACAATTACACACACACACACTTGACACACTTACACACACACTCAAACACATGCACACAGACAGAATTTTGAACCACCTCTCCTATCTCCCGACAGGTGTTGGAGAAGCAGCGCCTGCTGGCGCGAGAGCTCTCCTCCCTGGAGGCAGACTATGAGGCGGAGAAGCGCCAGCTGCTGTCCAACAACGAGAACGTGTTGCACGAGGTACAGGACCTGGCGCTACGGGAGGAGGATATCCTGTCTCAGCATCGCGACACCGACGCTCTCAAGAAGGCTCAGTGGCAGGTGTGTGGGTGTGTGGATGGGTGTGTGGATGGGTGGGTGTGTGTTGGGAGAGGGGGAGGGGGAGATCCTGTCTCAGCATCGCGACACAGACGCTCTCAAGAAGGCTCAGTGGCAGGAGGTGAGTGTGAGT